AAAAAAAAAAACTAACTAGACTCTATCCAAATGGAGTTTCAGTAAAGAGACGTGCTCGCAGGTTCTGTCTTTTATTTCTTTAGGTCGAGAGAAAAATGCTAATTCTTCCTACCGAAGGAAGTAGACGTGCAATCCAGCGACACACATGTAGGGCGTGCCCGTAAATCATGCAGACCCCGCAGTACTGGTATTACTAATGCATGTGTCCCTACCCCTAGTCTGTTTTTGATTTACACTGAAATGCTGCGCCAATATTAACCCCGGTCGCCTTTTGCGTCGCAATGCCTGGGTTTCGAAACCCAAAATATCCTCCTCCTATAGTTCAGGAGACCTATAAGACCCTATAGGGATCCTATAGGTTTTTCGTGTTTCCAAAACCTATAGGTTTCTAAAGGAAAGTCTATAGGTTTCCTATAGGACACTTCCGTAAGGGTGAGCTTTAGAAGCTAGGAACTCTTCACACATAATATATATTTTTTGAGGATATGGGACAATAATTTCCAGAATGAATGCCACCCATTTGCAAATCTTTTTCCCTCCTCCAGCTGATATCCATGAGGAATACAGGGGTCCCAATTTCTTTCCACCTTTTTGTCCGCGACGGAAACGCCGGAAACGCCGATTTCCACCAGGTAGCGTAAAATAAATAATTGCAACTTAACCGAAATGTCTGCTTTTGGGGACGATGTATCATTTTATCCACAGAGAAATTCCAAAATCAAAGAAAAAAAAATTAAATTCATTATAGATTTTCAATGCTAACAATTTATCACGTTTACCGTCGGGGTGAATTTTCAATTTCGAGGCGCCGGTAATAATAAGCAACAAGCGAGCGACAGCCAAAGAGCCAAACTTAAAATGAACTCATCGAAGTCCTTTTATGCATCAAATGTGCAACGTCTTAGAGGCATGACTACTCCGTGCCAAGCGTCTTCCGTGACTAGTAAAAGCTCGAAGAATATTGCGAAGGTGTGCTAAAGGTTTCTTAGATTAACTACAAGACATGATGTGAGCTGAATTAGGGGATCTCAGAGCCAAGCGTACCATCGAGGCACAGCCACACTCCGGGAAAAATTAGGAAACTTGTCTGAAAAGGAAAACAAGAAGCCTCAGATTCTGAAATGTTGCCGGTGGCCCGAAGATATTGGCGTTGGAGGGTCGCCTTCTCGGGCAACTTACCCGTCGTAAGTTGAAATGCCAGCACGACGTTTAGCTAGATGCGACACGGTAGTTTAATATATAAAATATGAACCTCTCACATGTTTTGACTGCCAAAGTCCATTTCCATGCCGCTTCAAGGGAATATATGAATCTACAGAGTGGGCCAAAAAAATACAGTTCTCATCGATACATACATACTTCACGCACTCCACATATTTCAATGCAGTTTGCGGCATTTTAAAGAGGAATAAACACGCTTTTCAATGTGTTTACTTTTCAAATATCTTTGGCAGTTTCAGAAATTTGGAACTCATATGAACAGCAAACAAAAGCCGTGTTGCCGCGCTCTCAGGAGACGGCAGGCGACTTCCAGTCATGAAGGTTGCTGCCTGTCGCCATCCGGTCCTGCAACATAATCTTTGCTTGGTGTTGATATGAGCTCCTTAATTTTTGACACTGTTGAATATATTTGAAACGTAAATGCACCATCCTGAAGTTTATTCATTCCTCTCTCAAATGCAGCAAACTACATTAAAATATATGCTGCGAGTACAGTGAACTGTTGAGAACCGTCCGTTTTTTTTCGGCCCACCTTGTACACGGATCCGGAGGAACCGTCTATACTCTCAGAGGGACCATCGATAAAAACGGAATCCAACCACTTGAAAATTCCATGAGTACAGTGAACTGTTGAGAACCGTCCGTTTTTTTTCGGCCCACCTTGTACACGGATCCGGAGGAACCGTCCATACTCTCAGAGTGACCATCGATAAAAACGGAATCCAACCACTTGAAAATTCCATGAGGAGCTCAAAATTCGAAGATATGAGTAGCTTCGGTAATATTAGCATGGGTGAGTTCATTACAGTGAGAGATCTTCACGAAATAATGTTCATGTTCTTTTTTTTCTCATTCCTCATGATAGTCCTTAAAGCGGATAGAGAGCTTAAGGACTCAGGCGCTCGCAGTTTGTCCGTGGACTTCATTTCTTATGTACTGAGCATGCAGGACGTACGAATCTTTAATAATTTTGTATTTTGACAAGTGTTGCAGTTTATATCCCGAGGTAAAATCACAGATTATGGGCTGCCTTGATGAGATCCGAAGCCCTTTCCCCGATGACGATGCAGGCCGCCATCGTGTGCCCCGAGATGATGACAGGCATGATGGATGCATCCGCCACTCTCAACCTTTGCACTCCGTAGACCCTGCACAGTTGAATGAACTTTACTTCCACTCTTTCATCTTGGATTCTTCAAATTGTTGATTCTGATACCTGAGTTTTGGGTCCACCACGGCTTCGGGATCATTGGAAGGCCCCATCTTGCACGTGCCGACATCGTGCCAATGAAGGTACGTAAACTGGCGAGTGTGACATTCCCAATACTCGTCCGTGAACTGTTTCAGATGCCTGCAACCTGGCAGAGGCTCCCTGTAGAATTCGGCACCGAACTTCCTGAACGAGGGTTGTTCTCCCAATCGCAGCACTAAACGAATAGCTGTTAAAGTAAAACAAGTAATATCACGTTGCATTGGCGAGATTGGCTGACACATGAATTGCAGGTAACGATACTCATGAACCCTCATGGAAGCTACCAAGAGGACTCTAGTAGTCCCACAAACTCCATTAAGGGCTATTACTAACCTACTAGCTTTTGCAACCATGACGCGTCATTTTAGAAAGGGGCCGAGAAACCACGTGTGACATATGGATAAATCCCAAAACCGGGTCGAAACAGCAACCCTTTGTATATTTTCCAGGCCTTTGGAGAAAAATAAATTTTGTAGAAACTTAAATACGTATCGCCGTAGAGACTTGAAGGACAAACCTCGTCTCCGAGTCCGATCCTCGGCCGATATAAAATGCCTCCGTCGGTGCCCATTGTCAACGAACCGAAGAAAATCTCCATATCCGGCCATTCCGGATCGCTTGAGAAGGACGTGTTGACGAAGGCGATGGCCTCGAAACCGGATGCAGTCGCGAACAGTCCTGAAGCGATGTAGGCGCGCTTGGGTCAAAGACAGGTGAAGTGACTTCATTTCAATAAGTTCATATTTAATCTGAAACGACGAAGGCCCGTTTGTGTAACGAACAGCCCAAGCCACATCCTTTGAAATTAATTTGCGCATATGTAAATTAAGGTCAATTGCTGCAGTAACGAATAGCCGGTTCCTACGGGACCACGGCAACCTGCCGGACAGCATCCTGAAAGGGACGGAACCGGAAGGGACTGGGTGCAGAATGAACCGAAAGGAACGGAATGTCGGACAAACGACTTTTTTTTCTAGGAACATCGAATTGCATGTACTCAATTGTCGACACTTCTGAATCGACTTAAATCAGAAAGCATGGAACACGTAGGTCACGCGTCCATCGGTCTTTTGTCATTGTTTACCGATGGCAAAAGTCCAATCAAAAGACCATTGAACAGGTTTTGTCAGGCGATCCAATACCGGACACGCACAACCTCCAGCTGAACGATTTCATGCTGAAAATATGCAAGGGTGCATGCATGCGACTGGCATATGAGAGGATTCCCAGCGTCCGCTGAGCCTTCTCTGTGTAATAGCAAGCGATTCAACTGTCTTCGAGCATCCCACCCATTTTGGTTTTTTTTTGGGGGAGGGGGGAGAAGAAGTATGGGCAAATCTGGCGGTACTCAAAATCCTTTTATGGTGAAACTATTATCATCGGAGCAGCAAGTGATAATTAATATAACCGACCAGAGATGGCGCGGAAGTGTACCGGTTGGTATGCATGAAATATGTAAATAATTATAGGTAAGTACTAGTACAGATAGATTAACGGTTCTGATCAAGCCTGCAGGGAATGTATTGAATAGCGAAAGGGACTTATAAACGTTGTAAGTTTGGGCAAGAACAAATAACTAAGGATGGAGGAATGTAAATGAATGAGGTACACCAGCGAGGTGTGAAACAAGGAGAAGAGGGACATCGCATTTTCTATCAAGCAGAGTTGAGGAGAACGACTGATCAGCTACCTATGACGATCCCAGGCGACCTACGACCTACGACCTCTCTCTTTTCTAAAAACCAAGAGTCCCGCCGTTCCAGCGACTCGACCTCAGGCGCCCCAGACGGTGGCCCGACCACAGGCCCCCAGTACGGCGAACGGTTGCTTCCGAGCCCCTTAGCAGCGTCATCCCTCTCTCTCGCCGTCCATCCCTAGATTAGTGACCTCGGGGACCACCACAGGTGGCCGAAAGCTGAGCTGGCAGCTGTCAGACACCTCCAGCTCCGACCTCGAGCTCGTCGTGGAGTAAATGGCTGCCCCTTCATTTCCAGTTTCGTATTCCGACCATTCTAGTATCATCCCCATATTTATCCAACTTTCGGTGAGGAGCCAGACTCATCCTCGCCATCCAAGCCATCCCTCGTCAAAAGCGATTGAGGGGGGGCATGTCCCATGCCTTGGGAAAAGTCAGCATGTCTCCTATGGCAGCATTGCCAGTGGTACTTGGCGTCTCCTTCTGCCGGGTTACCTCTTTAAACTGGTCAATCAAGGAATTCCAAAGCCTTCCCTTAAGTTGCACGTGGGAAAAGATGAGTACTGTGTGAAAAATACAGGGGACTTATTCCAGTGGCACCAATCGCTAAGTCGGTGCTTAGGCGCCATCTCGCGCCGATCGGTAGAACCTATTTTAAGTTAAGATAATGTGGATGTCTCAACCATGTCTCAACATTTCAACCTCACAACCTTTCACAACGTCTCTGTGCCGAATGCATGAATCACCTGCATAACGTTTCGGGAGAAAAGCCATAAATGCCCATAACCAATTATTTTAGCGTAATGATGCAATGGATCTAGGACGCTCAAAGGCTGCAAAGTGCATCGGAGCATTTTGGCATGCAATTAACTTCATGCCGCTCTGGGACTGCATGTTGTTTCACCCACTAGGTGGGCCGAGTCCATTGTGAGAGGATTCATGGTGGAATTTGTGACGGAACGAGTGAAGATCTCTTACACCCGGCAGGGACAAACTTTAGGGTGAATTCGGGGTAAATTAGGACTAAATCTTGCAAAAACCTCTTTATACGCCAAATGGCCTCTTATTGAACCTATCTGGCTTTTAAAGAGCTTAGATTGAAATTTCCAAGTCACACTTTGGCGTTTCAATCCGGGTCTCTCTTAAATGCCCGTAAGAAGCACGAAGCCTACCTTTGCCCTTGAAGANTCGGAGCATTTCGGAATGCAATTAACTTCATGCCGCTCTGGGACTGCATGTTGTTTCACCCACTAGGTGGGCCGAGTCCATTGTGAGAGGATTCATTGTGGAATTTGTGACGGAACGAGTGAAGATCTCTTACACCCGGCAGGGACAAACTTTTGGGTGAATTCGGGGTACATTAGGACTAAATCTTGCAAAAACCTCTTAATACGCCAAATGGTCTCTTATTGAACCTATCTGGCTTTTAAAGAGCTTAGATTGAAATTTCCAAGTCACACTTTGGCGTTTCAATCCGGGTCTCTCTTAAATGCCCGTAAGAAGCACGAAGCCTACCTTTGCCCTTGAAGAGGAACTTGAGTGCATTGGGAATCAGTCCAATGGTGAGTGCGGTAGGGACGTAGAAGCCAGCTTTCTTCTCGATGCTGAAGTAGAGCCCCCCCGGACCGGTATGGCTTTGGAGGTTCTCTCCCACGGGAAGATGCACCAGCCATGGGATCTGGGAGGAGAGGAAAAAACGCTCAGCGTTGTGAATTGTGTATACGGACGCACATAAGGGAATTTCTCGACCATGTGTAAATTTAGAGAGAGGATGCTGCAGCTATCTCCCAAGTATTTATCAGGTAAGGAAAGCTGCACGTGGAAATAGTCAATATTGAATATTTGGGGAATGAGTGGCATTAACGCACGATATGCATGTTAAGAAAAGTCGCTAATAATTAGCACGCAATTGTTAAATTCAGATGTTGCTCTTATTGGCGCACAGTAAAGTGCAAAAAGGTGCGAAGATATTTAGAGAGTAGATAAATCGGGACCAACCCCGTGTTTCTGTAGTTCGTGCTTGGGTCCGATACCAGAGAGCATGAGGAGCTGAGGAGAAGCAATGGCCCCGGCCGACAGGATCACCTCCCTCCTCGCCGGCACGAAGCGCCTGGTACCTTCTTCAGTCAGGTACTCGACCCCCTTCGCCGTCATCGTCGCCTTGTCTATGACAATCTAGTGGGAAGAGGAGACGGATAGCAAAAGTCCCTCGAGTAGTAGTCACCATTCTCGTCACCTCGGAGGTGAATCCCATCACAATAAATCAAAGGAAATTATTCAATAAAATCCCACGATGCCTTAAGCTACCGTTCCTGTAATGAGCCATTTGATCTGAGGAGGGAATTGAAGGATTCCCCAGTCGGCACAGCCACGTTGTGAAAAAATGTTGAAACGTTGAGACTTGGTTGAGTTGAGAATCCGACGAAGAATCGACATCAATGGAATCCTGGCTATTCATAATAATAGTATTTGCAGCATATTGTGACTGCCTGTGGATTAACAAAGTCGTTTAGCGGCTATTAAGCGCAAATCATATATGACGAAAAACGAATTTGCACATAATAGCCACTGAGCGACTGAAAGTTAGAATATCACGATTCATATGTTGTGTTTAATAGGAGTTGAGTATAATACATGCTTGTTATACGTCCAGTCCTACTCCAGTGGAATTCGCAAAATTACAAGCTCTTGAATTACTCTGTAGAAATTTCGCAAAATATTAAATTGCAAGAATATTCACATGAAAGCATACATTAATTTCGAAATTTACCTTCATGAATTGACGTCAGAAGAGAGAAGCAGTCTAACTTCTCTGGAGTACAGGCGATGCACGCTTGCCGGCAGGAGGTGTTTAAATACAGGGTGTTAAGAAAGTTGTGTCCCATAGCAATATGCTTATAACCTCAACAAAAAAATGCAAAAAATCAGGAAATTTTTTAAATACACAAAATAACAAGGACAGTTAACTGATTTAGAATCACTTAGTAGTTTTAAATATAGCTGTCCTTAGCGCGGATGACAAGGTTCAGACGACCCATGAAAGCATCGACTCATTTTCGCAAGGCTTCCTGTGGAATTCTCCCCCCATTCTCGGTTCAGGGATTGCTTGAGAGAATCCAAAGAACGGCGTTTTATAGCTCATACTTTGCTCTCCAAGATGGACCAAATTGAAATTTCAAAATTTGATTTTTTTTTTTCAAGCCACTCGGCGTCAAGGGGCGGCTTCTATAATGGTCTGGGCCGGGATTACCTCACTCCGCTCGTTTTCGTGCCTGCGAAGATGGTCAGCGCTGAAGTATACCGGAAAAGCATCCTGGAAGACTGCCTGGTTCCGTGGGCCACGAAATATTTCGATTGAGGCAGCTGGGTTTTCCAGCAGGACTCCGCCATCTCACAAGGCGCGGATGACCAAGGAGTGACTGCAGACAAATGTCCCCGACTTCATTTCGACTTCACAATGGCCCCTACTCCCACAATGTCAACTGCCTGAACTTTTCAATTTGGTCCATCTTGGAGAGCAAAGTGTGTGCTACGAAGCTCTGTTCTTCGGATTCTCTCAGGCTATTCTTGAGCCGAGAATCGGAGCGAATCGGAGCGAATTCCACAGGAATTCTTGCGAAAATCAGTCGATGCTTTCATGGGTAGTCTGAACCTTGTCATCCGTGCCAAGGGCGGCTATATTTAAAACTACTAAGTGATTCTAAATCAGTTAATTGTCCTTGTTATTTGAAAAAATTTCCTGATTTTAAGTTTTTGCTGAGGTTATTGGCATATTGAGATGGGACACAACTGTCTTAACACTCTGTAGTCTCTAGATTTGATCCGAATGAACTCGGGAGGGGGGGGGGGGGGGGTAGTGGAATTCGCAAAATTACAAGCTCTTGAATTACTCTGTAGAAATTTCGCAAAATATTAAATTGCAAGAATATTCACATGAAAGCATACATTAATTTCGAAATTTACCTTCATGAATTGACGTCAGGAGAGAGAAGCAGTCTAACTTCTCTGGAGTACAGGCGATGTACGCTTGCCGGCAGGAGGTGTCTAAATACAGGGTGTTAAGAAAGTTGTGTCCCATCGCAATATGCCTATAACCTCAACAAAAAATGCAAAAAAATCAGGAAATTTTTTCAATACACAAAATAACAAGGACAGTTAACTGATTTAGAATCACTTAGTAGTTTTAAATATAGCTGTCCTTAGCTCGGATGACAAGGTTCAGACGACCCATGAAAGCATCGACTCATTTTCGCAAGGCTTCCTGTGGAATTCTCCCCCCATTCTCGGTTCAGGGATGGATTGAGAGAATCCAAAGAACGGCGTTTTATAGCTCATGCTTTGCTCTCCAAGATGGACCAAATTGAAATGTCAAATTTTGATTTTTTTATTTCAAGCCACTCGGCGTCAAGGGGCGGCTTCTATAATGGTCTGGGCCGGGATTACCTCACTCCGCTCGTTTTCGTGCCTGCGAAGATGGTCAGCGCTGAAGTATACCGGAAAAGCATCCTGGAAGACTGCCTGGTTCCGTGGGCCACGAAATATTTCGATTGAGGCAGCTGGGTTTTCCAGCAGGACTCAGCGCCTGCTCACAAGGCGCAGATGACCAAGGAGAGACTGTGGACAAATGTCCCCGACTTCATTTCGACTTCACAATGACCCCTACCCACCAATATCAACTGCCTAAATTTTTCAATTTGGTCCATCTTGGAGAGCAAAGTGTGTGCTACGGAGCACTGTTCTTCGGATTCTCTCAGGCTATTCTTGAGCCGAGAATCGGAGCGAATTCCACAGGAATTCTTGCGAAAATCAGTCGATGCTTTCATGGGTCGTCCGAACCTTGTCATCCGTGCCAAGGGCGGCTATATTTAAAACTACTACATGATTCTAAATCAGTTAACAGTCCTTGTTACTGTGTATTTGAAAAAATTTCCTGATTTTAAGTTTTTGCTGAGGTTATTGGCATATTCAGATGAGACACAACTGTCTTAACACTCTGTAGTAGCTAGATTTGATCCGAATGAACTCGGGAGGGGGGGGGGTCGCTCGACAAGCGATGGGAGCAGAAGCGCCTCTGGCAAAGCCGACCTTGGAAGGACGAAAATCCATTCTGTCCAAGCTAACGAAGGCAGTACATGGGTGAGAAGGTCAGAAGAGGCGAGCGATAGTGGGGAGACCGGTATGGGATCGTTCCTCTCTGAGAAAAAAACCCCTGAAAACTCAGAGTTTAGAAATAATGTATAGGAACGCAAGAACATAAGGTGCGGATACTCCCGATAGCCATTCTGAAGGTTGGATGGCTAATTGAGGAGGACTTTTGGCAACTTCAAGCGCTACTGTATACAATTGTACAGAATTTGGTGAGGAAATAAAATTTGCCTTTTGAGCTGTGTCAGTGATATCATAAGTTTCATGCAAGATGGCGGTTCAGACTGAAATGTGAAGACTCTGAGTCGAGTGCAATGCCAGAGCCATCCAAAAATGCATACCCAATCTCACGTCTATTCTGCCTCTCAGTGAAAGCCACTCACTTTCGTGACGGGGGTGTTGAGGACGATGTGGAGGTTCCTGCGGTGCTTTGCCGGCGTCAGGTATGCTTTGGCCGTGCTGTGTCGGATTCCTCGCTTGGTCGCTACCTGCACTCTGCCGAAACCTGTTCAGTGGTAGCACGTGTTTAGTACACGAATACAGCCCTTCGAAAAATATCTCGCACCCAGCAGCTGGTTGAACTTGATGAAGAGCAAGATACAGTTTATTCTCATGTTCGAGAGAGGCCATCCAGCTTTTGCTCGTAAATCTTCTGAGTGTCCAGCTTTCCATTTGCACGGCGACATTTTTCTGCAGCTCTAAAAATTTCATCACAAAATTTTCCGCCGAATTTTTTGCTTAACAAGTTTGGCTCGTGTTGTCCTGTCGCAGCACTTAACATACCACCGTGACACATTTTAAAACTAATTTCAAATTTCTCTCCATCCAGTGAAAACCCTGAAACATCACTTCCTGCCCTCGCGTGGAGAAACCGCGGGAAAAAAAATGTTTCGGGCTGAGAGGATATCGGGTAGACGTGCACTTCCTTCGCATTTTAGGAGCTTGAATCCGTATATTTTTTAAGTCAGATTGAGTCCTTCTCAGTTCCCGTCACCAAATGTCAACCTCAGTCATGAATTTTATTTGTGCCTTTTCCGGATGAGAATTTATTTCTAATGCTATATTAAGCACCTCATTCCCGAGTTTTTTTTCACGAACTTACCCATCTGAGAGGCGCCGTTGTGGTTAGGATTGTAGGGGTATCCCAGGCTCATCCCAGCTTTGATGAATGCTGGCATGAGCTTCGTGAAATATGTGTGGGATACAGGAAAGTACCCACCGGTCCCGTGATAAGCAGCATCCCCTGAAAACGATGAGGTTGAAAGAGTTCAATGCTCTTCGAAATCGGAATGCATTGCGACCTTGAAATGGAAACCTTTTAAACAACATTTTCTGGCTTTGGGAGCAGGAGGAATCAAGTTAAGAGCGTGATCAAATTCGAATTTGGGGACATAACAAGATGTGCAGAATGTTTTGGTATCTACCTATGTTATATTTAGTGTAAATTTATATTTATAAGATGTGCCTGAAGTTACAACCCTGCGACCACGAAGATTTTGCGACGATTTGTTTATTATGACAAATGCAATACGGATACTTCGAAGGTTCGAGAATCCTACGGCAATCCTACGGTAATCCTACGAGAATAGCGGCCCAGAGAACAAAAACTCTCTCTGTTTTTAATGACGCAGTTTGCACATCAGCTTCACAAAGTAAATCAGGAAGAGGCCCCAATGTCGTAAACGTAAAGGCATAGGTTCCAGGTGCATCGCGCATTGTGCGATTCCTCAGAAACATAAGCGCTCATAACTTTTTTTTTTCTTCATCATTACAAATGCGCCAACAGTTTAATGGGGTCTAAATCACATTTGGACCGTATCAAACTATGTCTTGACCTATGAGCGGGAGTCCCATCATGTCAAGCAATAAATTTCCTCCAGTATTTTAGCAGGTACTTCCGATCTCATTGCTGGAATTTTATGCCAGAAATAGATATTTATTGCTGGCAAGAATGAAGTTTTGGGGTAACTTTCAGACCGCTGATCCACACTGGAAAAATGCGCTATGAATCTAGAACGGAGCCAACCTTCAGCCCTGAAGCTCATTGCTCGCTCTTACTCAATGGGACATCTCTCACGAGGAAGTTCTCAGCCCTGATGAAAAGCGGGAGGATGTCTCTGAAGGACCAGCCGGGATTCCCTAAGGCGGCCCAGTTGTCGTAGTCCTTGTGATTCCCTCGGGTGTATATGCCTCCGTTCAGGGACGAACTTCCTCCCAACATCCGACCCCGGAACCATCGGCATCGCTGAAGAAACAAAAAAAAAATATTTCAGGAATGGAAACATTATGGAATTTAACATGAAGGCCTCCAAGATACGTTGCGGCCGAGAACTATGGCGAGGCAACTTAATGAATTTTCATCTAAATATCCCTTTTCTCTTGCTTCTTTCTCTTGCATTTCATGCGCTATCGATTTTGAAGGTATTCCCTACTTTTAAAAAACCGATATGATAATAATAAAAATCCTGGTAGTTCTGAAACAAAGGCTCCTCTTGAGGAAGTTTAATTTCGAAACGCACGCAGGGAGGAAAAGTGTGCCCAAATCGGATCCCACATCTGAAACTAATGCTTGATCCCGTCGACATTAGCGGAGCAGAAGCTGCTTGGAGCAATTTGAAGAAGCAAAGTATACAACGGCGGAAATAAAGGCAGGCATTAACACAGTTTGGTAGTAGTCCAAAGGAGATATCTATGGTTGGACTCACCCCCTCCTTGAGTGCTAGGCAGGAATCCTTCTGAGGTTCGCTGGAGTAGGCATAATCGAACTTGGTGAACCACCACATCAAGGCAGCGGCTGCAGGTATCCACGAGAGCAGGGTTCCATCCGACCCAGCCTCGAGTACCAGCACCTTCACGTGAGGGTTCTCCGTCAGCCGACTTGCAATCACGCTTCCTGTCGTCCCTCCTCCCACTTCAAGAATTACAGACCAAGGCTTGTGCGGCATAAGTAATGCATCGATGAATATAATGATTATTCAAATCCCAAGTTGCACACCCTCGGTGAGTCAACATTGATTCAACGTTCAACGTTGATGCAGTCGATGTTGAAACAAAATCGGCCTGTCAATGTTGATTCCATTTTGAAAGTTGTGTTTTGATCAGCTTAAGGCAGCGTTGACATCAACAATGGTTCGATGTTGAAATGAGATAAGTCTCAACAGGCTCTTTAAGTCGCGCACATGCGCCGATTTAATTGCTGCAGTACTGTGCGAATATTACTTCGCCAAGATCTGAACCCTCTGAAGCCGTTCTTGATGATCCCCCCTCCAAGGACAATCTGAACTCTATGCCGAGATGAGAGAGAGACGTCTGAGTCTCTCGGAAGGACATTGGAATGTCAGGAGTTGAGTAAGAGAAGATTAATATTCACTCCACGTATCCTTCTGCGTGCAGGATCAGAATTGAGATTTTTCATTTCGAGTCAGGGCGACCTGCTTCAGTGGAGTGACACGACCGCGTTCACTTTCTTGTCTCCGTTACCTTGCTCAGAATTACCCTGGGTTTTCTTGGGTTGGGTTGCCACTTTTGCCGAGTATATCCCGGAGAAAATACCAAGTACCGTCCCAAAAGTAATGGGGTAACCCGTTGTGTTGGCTATTCGTCACCATCACGCTTCGGGGTCATGAAGTCTTGTTTGCTCTCGTGTACCACTTGTCTCCCCTGACATTCAGTTGGTGCAACGATGATTGAGCAATGTCCTCGCTATGTTGCTCTTTTCAAGATCGAGTCAACGTTGACTCACCGTTGAAACATCGATTCCACTCCGAAGGGCAATTTTTTTAACCTGCAAGCAATGCTGACGCGGTGCAGCGTTTAAATGTCTATCTCATAACCTATAATTATTATATTAACCTTTAATACTTCGAAATGTGTCAAAGGCATTCAACATACACAGGTATTCATGTTAAGCAAAAAAAAAACGATTCATTTGGAAAACACTTTATATGATGACGATGACCAACACTGTCCCAGATCTACTTCTGCAAGAGTAATAATGGAAACAAAAATGATTTCAACAGCCAGTTCCTTTGTCCTTATCGAACTGTATCACTTCGATAGAACCTTTATGAAACTGACTTCTCTGGACTATGATTGAGCGATTTTTCGTGAGCGAAAGACTGAAAGGAATTCCCCTGAGGCATGAAGGACTTCAAGCCGAATTCAGCTAAAGAAAAGAATGCGCCTTTCAAGTGACATCCGCCAAACTCAGGAATCTTACCTATAACACTTATTGCCTATAACCCTTTAACCCTTTAACTCTTAGAAATGGTCTTTTGTAACGAAAAAGAGCATCACAGAAGTGGGAATCCTTTCGACCCCATTTGGCTCTTTTTTTCTTCTTGAAAGCAAATCAAAACATATAAGAAAATTCGCTTTCGGATCCACCCTTACAAAAATGCCTTATAGGATTCCTATATATTCATTTAGGAATATATAGGAATCCTATAGGTTCCCTATAGGGCCTTTAGGGTTCCGTTTGAAGTTCTCCTCTAGGCCACTAGATGGAGGTATCGCGTTCTGGCATTTCTCAAAGTACAAAAAAGTGCCCTCCCCTTAATAAAATAATATAAAGTAAATAAAAATTATTTCTGGCTGAACCATTTGACAAACCTTGACGCAGCACGCATTTAAAAAAATTCTAGCTACACAACACGAGAGGAATCTTATGCTGCAAAAGAATTCAATGAATCGATGCTGATTTGATGAGTGCGGCATTGAATCAATGTTGGCCCAATGTGGGTGCATAAACGGTGACGGTCGCCGCGTCAAATCAATATTGATGCGACGTGGAGGTGCGATACATTACATATAACAGTGATACATTAATTACAACAGTGATACATTAATTACAACAGTAATACATTAATTACAACAGTGATACATTAATTACAGCAGTGATACATTAATTACAACAGTAATACATTAATTACAACAGTGATACATTAATTACAGCAGTGATACATTAATTACAACAGTGATACATTAATTACAGCAGTGATACATTCAATCCAAACCATATTGACGTTGAATCAATATTTAGTGCCACCCGGAATGTAACCCTGCCGAATGCCACCGTGGAGAAGGCAAGCATTGTAGCGTTGAGGCGGGTGGGGCAATGACGCTGCCACCGAGCGGCCACTATGCGGTTGTTGCCTCCGAACCGTAACCTTAGTACTTCTTATGCACTGAGCATGTGAGGATGGCATTCGTGACAGAACCGGTCGAAAGAGCAAAGTCCTGTCATACGATAACACGTTCCTGTGCGCAAGAGGGAGGCAACCTGCAGGCATTCACTGGCGATTGTTTGCCGTAAAAGGGGAGGCACGTGTGTCCTATATGATTGGCACGGAGTTCATCGCATGTTCATCGCGCAGTGAGTAACGACACTGTTGCGAAGACCGATGCTAACGGTTCGTGGCAACAGCCGGGTCACAATGTGGAATCCGGAAGAGGAAGTGAGGCTGAGTGTTGGTAGCGTGTTCGATATCACGCGTGAGCAACAAGGATACAAAAAATCGTGCCCACAGCGGATCCCCATGCGTCTGCCACCCGACCATATGGCCATATGGCCATGACGATGGGCCCTTCCCTCACGCACATCTGCCGTGATATCAGGAGGAAGGGAACGAATACGCGTATTGGGGACGAATTGCGATGTCGTTACGAAGTGGAATCGAAGCGCTCGAGCCTTCAGCGGAAGCACCCC